ATATCTAATATAATAGAATTCTAATGCATCGCTTCGAATTCGGCTTTGTAGAAACTTCTGCCCAAAGCCAAGCTGCCTTTGAAGCCCTCGTGAGAGAAGCGGCGCCCGCGAACGTAGAAGCCACCTGCCGAGGAACTGGCCCGGGTGGAGCCAGATGATGCCTCCGAGGCACCAGATTTTCCGCTGAGCTCCAGGGGAGTGCTTGAGCCCTTTGTTCGTTTGGCCGGTGGGCTCTTAGTTGGAGTCCAGGCGACAGTGGGACGAGTAGAGGCATCATCCTGCCCCACAGCCTTTTGAGCTTCCCGGCTTCTCATAGACTCCACAGAAGTAGCTCTAGGCTCCACAGAAGTAGCCGGTGCTGTCCTTGCGGGGCCCGGGGCTTTGGCATCACCTTTAAAGATCTTTCCAGCAGCACTCTCCGAAGCCACTTTCGGAAGCGGCTTCTGCTGACCTAGGTTCGTCTAATTTAAAAGTACTAGTAGGCACATATAATATATATTATATATATGTATATATAGCATTCGGAATGGCCGGGATCTAATTCTGTACTTGCAACTGAGATGCCTGGCTTGTCCAGCAGCCCAAGTGCTGCACGAACTTCGGCACGAACATCTAATTCCCGAGCCGATGAAGCCTGAGAGATCGATGGGCATATGCATATGTAGGACTTAAACTTAATAATTTGCTGGCACAAACCAGTCAATTTGCTGTCAAGGTGCGATCGAGTCTCCAGACGACCTCCTGGATAAGGCCGAGTCCACTGATCCCTTCCTTTCCAAGGGCCCCGGTGGAGCCTTCTTGGTGTAGGGTCCAGGCCGCATCTTGGGATCAGCTTTCGATAGACTCATGAGACCCCAATCCAAGCCACGAGCAAGGCCTCCAAAAGCTAGCCCTTCCTAGAAGTCACGACACGCCTTGATCCATATATGGTCGTTTGCCGGGTCACGCAAAGTCACGCTCAGAATCGTCAGAGCCTGGTCTTGACACGTAAAGTCACGGTCCACCGTGTCACGCGGTTCTGGGCGCACGTGCCTGGAAAGTCTGTTCTGAGAACGTTCCTTTTGCGACCTTGCTCTGTCGCTGCACATAACACGTGCCTCCTGTGACACAAAAACCTCCCCCAGAACGGTTTTGGGCTGTATTGCCTAGTTTTTAAAGGTGTCTAGCTCTAGATCCTATATCGAAAGACCTTTCAGGGAGCTGTCGAGACCAACACTTTTGTGGCAACTGGTTTGGGACATGTGTATCGTGCATTCAGGGGGCTCTAGTGCTACAAGGCTTGAAGCTCATCCAGCTCCACAGGTCTATCATGTGTATACCCAACTAGGAGCTGCATATACAAAACCGTTCTGAGCATGGTTTCTCGGACGAGGCTTTCCCAGAAGACCTGCATGGCTCGGATCCAAGCCAAATGCTACATAAATACAGCATTCCGGAATTTCCAGCCACAGCTCTAGATGATCTTGCATAGCTAAATGAAGCATATTTGAGATGTGTACACATGATGTAGCTAATTTAAGAGCATGAACTGTGGTTACCCGGACCGGAACCTCACAAAATCGGCACAATGCTCATTGGCAGGTCCTGTGGCGCCATCCATATGCCTGCCTCCTGGACTGTCTCGAGATAGTCCTGTAGCTCTTCAAGCTCAGCTTCTCGCCAGTCATGGTGCAAAGCCGGGACCTAGGGTTTCAAGGAATCGTTCATTGTTAGAATGATCTTGATTGCCATCGTAAATGACGACATCAATGGATCCAAGTCACATTCAACTCTCCAGCAACAAGCTTGTCATGCATCGAGTACAGGGAAAGGCTGTCGTTGATGGTGGAGTCGTGGCGACCAGCCTGATATGGGCTAGGGACTATATGCGATTCGAGCTCATGATGGCATGTGCATGCATAGCTGCTGCGAGGGTTCGATAAGGCCCAAATGAAGTTCAGCCACTCGGACACCAAAATTCAAAGGATATGCACCGGACTTCTCCAAGCCATGCTTGACGCCAGTCCTCGGGGGATGCAGAGCTAGCTCCTATTGGGTTTATGTTTTCGGGTTGGGTTTGCAGGGCTTAAGGGGTTGAGGACTTACAGGCTTAAGGGGCTTAAGGTTTATACTGTATAGTATGTTTTGTATATATATATATACAGCTAGCTATATAATAATATTGTATATTCACACATATATATATATAGATATATACATTAAAATATTAATTATAGCTGTATGCAATATATAGGCCCCACTTAGTAAGCCGAAAATCACTTTCTTCTTCCCATCTTTGGCAATGGATCGCTTGACCAGGATCAATTGCATCTCATGCTGTCGTTGCTTGATTCGGGCTCGGTCTTTCTGAGTCATCTTGTTCTTCAGCTGCATAACCCATGGCCTGGAGTATGTCATGTTGTTATGTCGACAGGTTCCGTGTGCCGACTTGCAGCAGTGGTACTGACGACTTCGAAAAGCTAAGGCACACACGCGGACCCAAAGCCAACAGAGGGCTTGAAGCACCAATGGTTGTACAAACCCATCCACCTTATATGTTGCAAGAGCACACTGCAAAACAAGACTAGATGCTAAAGTCATCTCACAGTGCATG